GGAGATACTTTTACGATGTAAATGACAGTAGAAATAAGTCCTACATATGTTGTTGTACTTCGTATTGGTTTAATATTCATGTAGAGTATGAGACATTAAGTGAAAGTTTTCTGAGGTACATCTGCAATTGTCGGAAGGCAAAAATAAATAAATAAATATAGAAGCAACAGAACCAAGAAGAAAATGTTTTCACCCAGCTTGTGCTGAAAAATACTTCCATATTTTTTTTTTCCAAGCAGCCAAAACAAACGTAAAAAAAAAATAAGTGATAAAAATTCCATACTTTAATAAAAGAAGATCGTAGGACGAAATTAATCAGCATAAACTTAAAGCAATGCCAAGAATAATTACACAACTAACTCATATGCCCTAGAACGAGCTGAAAACATGTAAGATTCATAAATATGCATCGAAATCCTACTCGCTCGGTATATATAATACAGACACCCCATCTTCATTTATTCGAATGCACTATCCCACCTAGACTACCGCTCGCTGTTGTTCGAGTTTATCGTTTCTATAGCGCGCAGGGAGCACCGTACTGGGTCGTGATTATTTTGTCACTTTTCTGCATTCAGTATTCACGCCTTGCGACACTCGCTTTTTCTGTGCGTAAGCATTCCCCTTTCTGCCGCATAGGTGGTATCCATTGTAAAGTTGAACCAGTGTTTCGTTCTACGTTTCCATTTTTTTTTGGTATTATTTCAATAACTATTTCCCCTTGCGATTATTGCAACTGCTGTGCCCTTGTATTTCCTCGTCGTGCATGCTCGCATCATTGTTTACCCCGTGCTTGCTGACCTTGCGTTGAATCTAGTTCGTTTGCATCGACTCTCACACTATTCCTTCTTCGCCTGTCTCGCACTAGCAACGATGTCCTCTCCACACGATCAGGTGCAGGGGCTCTCGAAGCTGCCAATCCTCGCGACAGTGATACCCCTCCGATGCGTATTCTGGGATCCGTAGCACTGCCGGTGCTGTTTGAAGGCGATGCCCGAGTAGGAGACGTAGAGGTACGCGTGGTAGACGGGTTGCCAAACGGGTTCATTGTGGGAGCAGACTTCTTTATTAAGCCGGAATGCTAGCGTGCTCGATCACAGCTCCACTGGACCAGCAGAGGCTTCAGGCCTGTACCAGCAGCGCTCGGGGTGCCTTTTCTGTCGATTGCACCATACGCCTCCCAGGCTGCAAGCCCCCTCCGCAACGCTCGGGACCAGTTCAGTATACTGACGGCTACCNTCTCGCACTAGCAACGATGTCCTCTCCACACGATCAGGTGCAGGGGCTCTCGAAGCTGCCAATCCTCGCGACAGTGATACCCCTCCGATGCGTATTCTGGGATCCGTAGCACTGCCGGTGCTGTTTGAAGGCGATGCCCGAGTAGGAGACGTAGAGGTACGCGTGGTAGACGGGTTGCCAAACGGGTTCATTGTGGGAGCAGACTTCTTTATTAAGCCGGAATGCTAGCGTGCTCGATCACAGCTCCACTGGACCAGCAGAGGCTTCAGGCCTGTACCAGCAGCACCCGGGGTGCCTTTTCTGTCGATTGCACCATACGCCTCCCAGGCTGCAAGCCCCCTCCGCAACGCTCGGGACCAGTTCAGTCTACTGACGGCTACCCCCGAGAACGCCCCCGCAGTGCCCGCCGTTCCCACAGATGTGCCCAGCTACGAGGACGTGGTGTGGGAGGACGACACCTCCTTCGAGTGGGACGTGCGACAAGTTCCGGAGACCACCGGCGTCGAGGGTTTCACCACTCGCGCGGTGGAAGCTGCTATTCGATAAAGTTACACCATTAGATAGACTAGTCAGCGCTGACTCGTCTAATGGTGTGACTTTATCGAATAAAAAATATGCTCAGAGCTCATTTGCACCCGGCTGGATCACTTGGGTATGTATGTAGGTATGTATGTATGGATTGAATCTCCGGGGACGGAACCCTCGCCAGGCGCTACCCGAAAAGAACATTATGGTGCTTAAGATAGTGAGTATAGCCGGGATTCGAACCCGTTCGTATTACTTCTATCGGCAATAGTCAAACCATTTGTCTAGTCAGCGCTTACTAGACAGGCGGTTTATCATTTGGAGCTAAAGGATGCACGCACGGGTTCGAATCCCGGCTACTCACTTTCCCAAGCACTATAATGTTCTTTCCCGTCAGCGCCTGGCGAGGGGTCCGTCCCCGGAGATTCAAGCCATAAAACCCCAGAAAATGTGATCCAGCCGGGTGCAAATGAGCTCTGAGCATATCTTTTATTCGATAAAGTTACACCATTAGACTAGTCAGCGCTGACTAATCTATCTAATGGTGTGACTTTATCGAATAGCTGCGGCTGTGGGGCCACAACCGCAGGACAGGCAGCTAGTGATGGTCTTGCCGACCAAGCGGTTCGATTTAGAGCAGGGAGCTGTAGTGGGAGTAGCTCGCGCGTTAATGTGGTGGGTTCCGGGGTCGCCGCTTCGTGCAAGTTGGTAAACCGTAGTAAGGAGAAGGTGGCAGTCGAGGGTAGCCGGGTGATAGCTCGCATGGCAGTACTCAGTGTTCGCGACAAGCCGGCTTTCGATTCGCTGTTTGACACCGGCCCCCTCTGCTGCCGACCCGCCCCTGGCTCCCCGTGAACCGCGCGCCCCGAGCCCGTCCCCACCTGATGGGGAATCCATCCCGCGTGTTCGCGTAGAGGACGCCAACCTGGGGATGCTGGGGTCGCTCGAGAAGCAGCAACTCGTCAACATCCTCGCAGCGTTCATCGAAAACAGCCTGTTTCCGATCGACCAAGAAGCGAGTGCCGGCTTGCATCAACGGTGAGCTTGAGCTTCCTCTGATCAACGAGTTTTGCACACCTTTCGCAGCCAAGCAACGGCGTTTCTCTCCGGAAGAACGACGCATGATCAGGTCAGAGATTCAGCAGTTGGTAGACCCGAGGAATGATCCGTCAATCCATGTCTCCGTGGGCTGCCCAGTGCTTGCGCGTTAAGAAGGATGGTACGCTGCGACTGTGCATCGACTGGCGTGAACTCAACACACTCTTGGTCTCGGATAGTGGGGATTTGGGTGACATGCAGACGATATTCGACACGTTGAAGGGCAAGAAGTATTTCACTCAGCTAGACCTCGCCTCCGGTTTTCACCAGATGGAAATTGCCGAGAAAGACCGTTACAAGACGGCCTTTCGAGATGCGGATGGAATGCTTTGGGAATTTACGCGCGCGGGTTTCGGCCTGACGGTGCTTCCGGCGGCCTTTACTCGTAGAGTGAAATCGGCTCTGGGGCATCTAGCAGGCGTGTTTAGCTGGCTTGACGACATTCTCATCGCTAGCGACTCATGGGAAGAACATCTCGCCACTCTGACGCTCGTTCTGAACCGCCTTCTGGCTGCGGGGCTGTCAGTAAACTTCGCAAAGTGCATTTTCGGCGCAGCATCGCAGGAATTCCTCGGCATGATCATCGACAGCACGGGGCTATACCCCGCTCCGTCTAAGCTAGATGCAATCGCACGCATGCCTCGCCCACACACCGTGGAAGAGCTGCGCACGTTTTTGGGTCTTACCGGTTACTTGCGTCAGTTTGTACCCAACTACAGTTTGACTGCCGCTCCGCTCACCAACATCCTGCGCAACAAAGCCTTCGCTTCGAAACGTGCACGCAAGCTTCCTATCCCGTGGTCCGTAGCTGAGGAAGACGCCTTCCAGTCTTTACGAGAAACGTTGGCTTCCCCGAAGGTCCTTGCTTTCCCTGACCTTGAGCGTCCGTTCGAACTGCACACGGATGCTAGCACGCTGGGTGTAGGAGCTTCGCTTATGCAGACAATCGATGGTGTCACCAGAGCGGTGGCGTTCGCGAGCCACCGGTTTTCACAAACCGATGCTAGACGCGGGCCCACGGAACGAGAATGCATGGGGGTCCTCTGGGCGGTAGACCACTTCCGGCCGTACCTAGCGGGTAGACGGTTCAAACTGGTTACAGACTGTTCTGCCCTTACATGGTTGTTCCGGAGCCGTGAACTCTGCCCCAAGCTGCACAGGTGGGNATGATAAACGTTGGCTTCCCCGAAGGTCCTTGCTTTCCCTGACCTTGAGCGTCCGTTCGAACTGCACACGGATGCTAGCACGCTGGGTGTAGGAGCTTCGCTTATGCAGACAATCGATGGTGTCACCAGAGCGGTGGCGTTCGCGAGCCACCGGTTTTCACAAACCGATGCTAGACGCGGGCCCACGGAACGAGAATGCATGGGGGTCCTCTGGGCGGTAGACCACTTCCGGCCGTACCTAGCGGGTAGACGGTTCAAACTGGTCACAGACTGTTCTGCCCTCACATGGTTGTTCCGGAGCCGTGAACTCTGCCCCAAGCTGCACAGGTGGGCGCTGCGGCTGATGGAGTACGACATGGAACTGGAATGGAAGGCGGAGGTAGAGCACGTAGTGCCCGATGCTTTGTCCCGGTTGCCTGTGGCGAACCCGGTAGAGGTCGACGTCGACGATTCGTTTCCGGATGATGTGTCGCGTGCTGCAGGCGCTGCGGTAGAGATTGTAGGACCGGAGTTGAAGGGTGTAAGGCTAGCTGAGTTGGACCCTGTGCAGGTAGACCAGGTAGGCGATGCTGACTCCCAACCCTCTCACCCCACTCCGGAGGGGGCCGACTTCCATCTGTCCGCCCTTCGAGCGTTGCCTTTCGCTGCATGTGCGGCTGTAGACCATGAGCCTGATGCCCCCCGCCGCAGCGGCCGGACCCGTACCCCTTCGGTACGATTACGACCGATCGGCGATGCGCAGCTGCCCCCGACAAGTGTGCTGGAGACCCTCCCGGACAGAAAGGCAATCGGCCCCTCCGCGGTGCAAGCCTCAACTCCAGCGCCGTCGCCATCGACACTGCCGCCGTCCCCCGTTA